CGTGGGCAGCCACACAGTAGCCAGTCCTCTGGGCAACCTACGGACAGTTGCACGAATGAAGAGTCCCACTCCAGTCAATTGTTTCTCTCATATATAATCTCAGGAAGGGAGGAAATCGTGAAGGGAGGACGTTAGAAAGGTCTCTTGAAGGTCCCATGAGTATTTTAAGGCTCTCCCTCCACAAAGAAATTTGAATAGGATCAGGGTCATGAGCATGCTCACAACTACACTTCAAGATAGTGGTGGGCATGCCCAGCAGGGAGGACTGATCCCTTTCCTATAGCTTTTAAATTTTCACACCTTCTTCTATTATGTTCCCTGATGTCTCTGAAGCTTTGGAAAGGGATGATACACACACACACACACACACACACACACACACACACACACACACACTCACACATTTCCTCCCACTCAGAACTGAGCATCAGGTTACTAAGCCACACCAACAGCGCACATAGACACTTGTTCCCAGCAGTTTCAGACATCATGAATGAAACCTCTGCTCTAACTGCTGCCCACTGTCAAAATAAGGCTCTTTGGAAGGCTCTTTGGACAGTGAACTGACAGCAGCAATCTCCATACAAAAACAAACCATGTTTGGAGGAGTTTGACAGGCTCGTTGCATCTATTTAACGTAATAGCAGAAGCCGCTTCTCTGAGGTCTGTAATTTCTCCAGTCTCAGGCCCTTTTTCCTGAATTATAGTACCAAACACGGGTTCCTGCCTGTAGCCCAGGCCTAAACTCCAACCAAAAAATACCTGGTTGTTCCTTTAATGGTCACAGCACTGTTGGGCTCATGGACGCACCTTACCTGGAGTGTTGACAGGGAGGAGTGGTTGCCTCTTCCTCTACAGCCTGCGACCATGTGGAATGCAGGTACACATCACACGCCAAGGATCGCGCTTGAATGCACGGCTGCCTCACTGGCCACTATTTAATTCCGTGATTCTCTATTAAGTTTCAACCACAGACTGTACCTGACACACATGTACATAGAGTAATCCCTCCGCTCCCAGAAAGAAACACTGTCTCAGAGATACAGGGGATTTAATGCTGACTAAGAAACCATAGTCTATGAGTTATGTAACTTAGCATGTGTTTGTTTATGTCAGTACATACCCACAGATTCACAAGAATGTCTATTGTGTAATTCCATATTATTGGAATTGCTATATCATCAGGTGCATGCCTTTTCAATTTTCAATATTGTGAAGTCTTCCTCGGAAGGGATCAATCCATCAATACACACTCCCACGGATGCACTCTGTACCAGCGCTGTACATCACCAGAACTTAATGTAAAGCCATTCCTTATTTCAGTTGGCATTTCTTTAATTCCGAGTGATTCCCAGAGGTTTGTTGCCATTTGTTTTGTGTTTCTGGGAATACATTCATGTTTGTCTTTCTCACTGAATTATAGGGACTCCTGTAAATTAGGGGATTAATGTGTTTGACTATCATATCTTTCCAGTATTTTTCCTGAGCTCTGATCTTTTCCATAAGACAGTTTGTTCGTGATTTTTTTATTCTGAGAAAATATATGTAGCATACAGCTCGCCGGTTAGCCATCTTAAAATGTGCATTTAGTGGCATTAAGTTTATTTACAGCATTGTATGCCATCACCACTAGCTATTCCTGGAGCTTTTCCTCCTTCTCAGACAGAAGCTCTGTCAGAGTTTGGCAGTATCTCCCTGTGCGCTCCTACCCTTGGCTCCAGGCATTCTCTCACAAAGCCCAGAAAAGGATTTCAGATCCTCTGAAGCTGGAGTACAGGCTGTTGTGAGCCACATGACGTGGTTGCTGGGAACCGAACTGCTGTCCTGTGTAAGAGCGGTATGCACGCTTACCTACCAAGCCATCTCCCCAGCCTCTGCCCCGCCTCCCATGTTGGCTGTATAGGACAGCATTGTGAGGTCTAGTGTCCCAAGCTTCCTCTTCCCTTTGCAGGAAGGCTTTTTGTGCTCTCAGCCGTCCATGTCTGATCTGAGTGGAGTCAGCCTGTGGGATTCCTTCAGACAAGACTTTTAAGTTTTTTCCTGTTTCTCTGTGTGCTTTGTAAACCAGTTCAATGAGATAATCTAGGCACTTTCAGGTGGTAACTCCATGAGGTTTTTTTCCCCTTATTTTTGGGGAACTGATGACCCAGCTGGCTGGTTCACACCATCTCTGTTCATGGGAACTTCATGCCGTATGTTGTTTTCTTTGGACTTGGTCACAGCTCTTCCTATTCCATCATCCCTAAAGTCAGCAGAGGACAGCAAGCTCTCCCTATCCCAGCACTGCCCTCGTGAGTAGCAGTGCTCCCAGGCTCCCAGGTGTGAAGCGGATGATTCCAGTCAGTGGCAATGGCAGAGACCAACCTGATAGACCTATTTTGTATGGCTTTCCATTTGATACTGTACTTTTAAAGACAGTCAAACTTGAAAATATTGTCCTCTGTGATTTAGGAATTTTTATACCAGGACAAAAAATGGTCTACTCATCTTGAGATGATTCAAAATAATCAAAAGGCCTCCCAAACAATAACCAACATTTTCACTATCTTGAATAGTATCTATTTAATTATTGGTTAGCCTATGCGTTTAAGGTCATTACTGATCACGGTCTCTCTGGAGTGTGCTGGGGTGAAATAGTAGAGCTGCCCCCATCTCTCATGATGATCTGCCACTGCTAGTCTTCTCATCCCTAAGTGAGGTTATGGCAAAGACAAGTGGATATCAACTGGTTGGTCACTTGTCACAGTCAAACTAGAATCATACCCTTGATATACAGGCAGGAGAAGTACTTAGAAGACATGTGCAGTCTCATGGTGAACCAGAAGTGTCTGGAATCTGGGCCTCTTATCCGACATCCCACATCAAGAGCAGACTATGTATGAATAGAAAGACTGGTGTCACATGGTTAGCTGAGGTACTCCTAGGATCCAAAATGCAGGGAATAAAAGGCGTAGAGTTTGATATTTGTATTTATTTTTAATTAATAGAAATTTCACATATGAGCATAATGTATCTTGGTCAAGTCCAATCCCTCATTCCTTTCTATCCAATCTCACCCCTGTCACTACCTTTCCCTCCCATTTGCAAATCAAGATAACCCATAGAGTCCACTAGTACTGCCAGTGTGCTCACGGGTGTAAGACCTTCTACAGACACATAGATAGCCTCTCAGGGGACACATCCCTGAAGAAAACTGACTCTTTGTCTCTCAAGCAGTCATCAGTTGCCCATAGCTTCTCATCTACGGGGTGGTACTTCCTGACACCCCCCACTCCATGATGGTATTTTGTCTGACTTGGTCTTGTACAGATCTTATGCATATGGTCACAGCCCAGGTTAGTTCATATGGTCCATTTTGTTCAGAAAACAGTTTCACTTTAGTCATTCACCACCTCTGGCCACCGCCTCTGGCCACTACTTCTGGCCTCTGCATTCTCGTCCAGCCCCTTTCCGTGGTGACTGGAGACCTTTGGATGTTTAGTATTGTATCCCAGTTAGGGTTCAGTGCTCCACCATCTCTTAGTCTCTGCACTTTGGCCAACTGTGGGGATTTGTGTTAATTACTACTAAAAAAGAAAGCTTCTTTGTGAGTGTGAAAAGATGTATTTTTCTATGGGATCAACCATAAGTCTTGAGGAGTCATTTTAATATTATGCCAGTTTGGCAGAATAACAGTAATAGGTTCTAGGACCTAATTAACTTTGGGTTCTTGGCCTCATTAATGGCACCAGGAACAAGTTATGTCTTATGGAGTAAGTCTTAAATCCAATTTGAAAGCGATTGGTTGCTTCTATGACATCCATGTCATTATTGCACTAATTGACCTATCTTGCTGGGCTGGCTATTATTGCATATGGAAGGGTTCATAACAGGATAAGAGTATTGACTACTTTTCTACTCTAGTAACATGCATAGTAACTTCAACACTATGAAAGGTAGCCCTCATAGAGATGAAACTTCCCGGTCGGCACCTAATGGTAAATGTAATATCTTAAAAGAAAAGATAGGAAGGTTCAAGTAGGAAGACCAGGAGTTCAAAGACCACCTTGGCTACATATCTTGGCATGAGGTAGGGCCCTGAAATCACTATCCTGTGAGTTTAACACTTGTTTAGAGCAGGGACATTAGGCCTTTCAGAAATGACAAGACAATACACAGCAACTGATGGGAGGGTGTGACCCAGGTAGAAGTGTGGGGACCTAGAGGTGCACTCTGCCAAGCCAACTCCACCCTTCCTCCACTGTCAGCACTACGACTGTCTTATAGAGATGGTGTGTTTGAGAGTGTAGAGAGGCAGAGGGGAAAACAGGCTAGGCTACCTCTTGTTTTACTGGGATCAAAGTTCATGCAATGGGTCAGAATTGACAAGGCTCTAAAACCATCTCTCATTCATTCCTGCTCTCTCACAGTCATATTGGAAACGCCAGGGCACCAGCACACATCTGCCATTCTCTCATTTCATGCAGTAATCCCAGAGCTGCACCACGTAGCTTGAAAACAGTAACACATCTTTCAAATGGTCGGGCTTTGGAAAAAGGTGTTCTGTGATAAAGATCATATGGTATGCCAGAAGGGCCTGTTGCTCTTGTGGGGGATGGAGGAAAGCCCTGGCTACCAGGAGACCAATAAGGAGAAGCTACCACTTCAGTGGCCAACTGACAGAGAAGCAGTGTTCATACCTGCTTGGGAAGGGTTGATCTTGCAGGTAGAGCAATGCTTTTTTTTTTTTTAATCTTATTTCTCATACAGAGGCCTTGTGACCGCTGGAGGCACAGGACCTAGAGATGGCCTCTTTGACATCAACAGTTAGGTTGATGTCAAAGTCAAGTATCTTTTCTGATATTACTAAAATTCAAAGGAATATGTACCAAAGAAAGCAAGCTCATAGTAGTAATGTCAGTGTCTCAGAGAAATCCAATTTCCTGATTTTTAGGTGGGCTGCTGGCTTCCAGAGTACTAAGACTGACTCTTCAGCTGTGTTAATGTGATGTTTCTTTCAGCTGAAAGCAGCGATGGATCCAGTTCAGAAGATGGCAGTGAGGACCAAAGTGTGAAAACTAAGAGGAATAGGTAGGTGGCTTTGTCCTATCCTATTTTGTCTGCCCTTGATGCTTTGGTGGCGTGAAAAGAAAGCATTTTGACTACACTGACTTAAGCAAAAAAAATTAGTTTAACTATGAAGCAGATGCCATGGGTTATCTCTTGACATCTGCTCTGGATATTTCACTGAAGTTCAGGGGCATGTACTCAGCTTCCAGAACCCCATGGAAGAGGCCATAGTGGCCCCCTACTCAGGGCATACCTGTGTTGTGTAAAATACTACGTCAAGGCAGGCAGTTCTGTCTGGATATTTCCTCTCTGGGTCTTGCTTGCCATCCATCCGGTCCTTGTCTTATAAGTTCTGGAAGTGAAGCTGTGGACCTGTCTGCGAAACTACAGGTGGTACTTGGTGACATGTAGGTGTCTATCAAACTAGCTTGTCACTGCATGGCTGCATGTGTGGGATAGAACATTTGTCCTTTCCTTTTTGGTGTCTCTCACAAGGTCACTGGTCTGTCCTCTGTATACTGAACAACACACACACAGGGGATATGGTGGGACAGTAAAGGTGCCTAAGCCCTCAGAAGAGGACAGAGGGAAGGAAGGATATGGCTGCAGGCATCTTTGTGGGCTGAGAAGAGTGGTGGTGAATCTCAGATGCCAAGCAGTGCATCTCAGGCTACGACATGAACTTAGTTGTCCTGGGCCTCGGTAGGACCTGAATGGATATCCCACTGACACCTGTGGCTTTCTTGTGCCCATCAAGTCCCTTCACCTGCCTCTGGCTTCTGTATCAGCTCCCCTCATTATCTCCCCAGGCCCGGACCAGAAATTCAAAGGCGTTGGTCAAACATGTTGGCAACATTTTCTCTTTTAAAATTGTCCCTTAGTAGAAGAAGCAGACACTTGGCATAACAAAAAATGAAATATCTTATTTCAGAACCATTATCCATTTTCACCTCCTTGGTCCTTCATCCTGAGATATTTTGGTAAACAAAAGGTTTGTGAGGAAACTAGATGCTGGGCCAGCGTGTCTCTGACAACTGGAATTAAGCTTCTAGCTGGATTCTTCTCTCCAGTGAATGCCGCAGTTAGGTTGGAAGGAGACCTAACTAAGTTCAGAACTGAGAAGAAACCCACAAAACTTTCCAGAACTGTGAAGGGTAAAGGCGGGACACTATCGTAGAGGCTGGACACTGTCATCCAGCAGGGGATGATTTCTCTCATCTCTGGTCTCTTGCTGCTGTGCCTCCCTCTGGAGGTGGTGTTGGGTCTGTGAAGGACCCACTGCTATGAAGTAGACACAGAACTCTGTGGGACCCTAGGGCCGAGCCTCTCCTCCCAGTCTTGAGGGCCTCTACTTTCTGACTGCCTTAGCTCTTGCCTTTAAGAGGTTACTTCCTGGGAAGGTCAAAGAAATACCTGTGAGGCCACAGGAGATTTTTTATCCAGGATCTTTGATGGTTCAAGAGTTCAAGAACTGGGAGGAAGGGCAGGCAGCCTTTTGACATTCTTGTCTACAGCATGACTGTCAGCCAAGCTGTCCCAGCTGGTGTGTGCACAAGTGCCCTGAGTTTGAAACCCGAGACAAGCTCCCCGTGGTGCCGGGGAAATGGACTGGCCTCGGATTCTGAGCAATTGGCATTTAAATAACAGCGACACATTAATTTTGGTTTTAATCATCTGAATGACTTCCAGAATTAAAAACTGACTTTGAAACAACAAGCACAGATGTTTCCCACAGAGCTGTTCCAGTTTCTGCAGTTGTGCGTGTCTACATCCACTGCAGCTGCGGGAGGGGCTGGTGCCTGTTGCGTGCGGCTGTGCCTCCAGGCTCACCAGGTACTCACCCGGGGCTGCCTTGGTGAGGCTGTGCCTGCCTAACACAATTCTGCAGAAAAAAAAAATATTCAGTAGCCAGGAAGCAGCCAGACTGAGGACCCAGCATATTCCAGAAAGCTCTGGAAATCATTCATTCCTGATCCAATGCACAGAGAGGGAGGTTGGGTAGGTCTGTATTATGTAGAAGGGGGGCCAGCTCTGTGCATGCAGAAGGCTAGTCTTCTCTGTGTGGCAGAAGGTAGGCCTCCTTGTGTTCACAGAAATTGAGTCCTTCCCTTGTGTGTGCAGAAAGGGGGCCTGCCCCGTGGGTTGAAGAAGGGTCTGTTCTGTGCCTTGCAGAAGGCAAGCCTGCTGTGTCTGCAGCCCCCACCATGGTACCGATTCTCACCACACATTTTTTTTTTTTTTTGGCAGTGCCATGACACCTCATGGCTCATTGATAATGGCCCCCACTGCATTTGGAAAATGGCATTTCACAGGTCTGGGCACTGTATGCATTTGATACTGAAGAACTGGTTGTAGGCAGCAAGGAATATGCCCCCACACATCTTTCTGGAATCACTTCATCTTGACCTGCCCCTTTAGTATAAATAATATTTTCTCTCTTCGAAAAGCAATGAGAACTTTCTGGCAAGGTGTGACTTGCTGGCCCAGTATGTCATGATATATAGAAATAGGGGCTAAATGATAGCGATGGCGGTTCTAGATTCTTCTCTACCTCTGCATTCTGATGAGCCCTGGCACAGCTGAAACCACTTGGGGCATTCAGACACAGATGGAATTAAATTGATTGTGCAGATAATGTAGGCGCAAATGATACTTTCCCTAAAATTCTCTTGGAGGAGAAATATGTCACAATGACAAGCTTTCAAAACACAGAAGTATTTTAAACTACCTGGTGAGTGCCATTTCCTGAAAGCTTGTTATTTACTATTTAGTGGAATGTGTTCCTGATGCAAACTCATCCATCTTCCCCGGGACCAGAAAATTGGCTTATTGCTGCATGCCCCCTTCTCATGCAGGGCTTGGAGGTCCTGCCAGTTCCTACTTTCTGAAGACTGGGTCTTTTCATAGTTTGGACCTGCTTTTGGAATGTGCTGTCTATTCTAGGGAGTTGGGACTTTATTTCAAATTCAAATGAAATTATTCTGGGGGCACTTAGCAAAAGTATGTCATTTGGTTTAGAAACCAGAATGGAAGTAACCACGAAACATTACAGAGACGTTGTCATGGGCATACATGGCAGCCTGCCCCTTCCTGAGAAGCCAGGTTTTGCCATTCAAGAATTGGTGTTTCTACTGAGTCAATGAATTTTGTCCTTTAGTTGCCGTTGGCACAGTGGGCTTTGATAACATTCTGACATTTCCATGACATCAGTACAGATTTTTTACTCTGGGTTGACTAAAAGACGGGACATTGTTTCTTGTGTTGGTTTCTAACTTTTTGGGATGTAACTGTTGGCTTTGGATGTACCAAGCTGAGTGTCTCCTGCCACATCGTCAGGTCAAGTAAAGAGTTGTTATGGTTAGTCTTGATCATTAACTTGGCAGGGTTTAGAATCACCTAGGAGACACACCTCAGCACATATCCATGAGGGTGTTTCAACACCCATCCTGAATGTGGAAGCAGCATTCAGTGTCTGAGAGCCCAGACTGTAGGCACAATGTGACCGGCTGCTGCTCCTCTGCCGCTGTGCCTTTCTTGCCATGATGGACGGTCCCCCCCAAAACTATGGATCCAAAGAAACTCAGCTTTAACTTGCTTTTGGTAGGTGTTTTGTCACAACTATGAGAAAAGCTACTAATATGGGTCATTTTTGAGGTCATAGTCAGCTCTCCTTGAAGACTCAAGATGCTGGAGCAAGTAAGAATGTCATTCTGTTGCTTTCTCCAAATCTGTCCCTACTGATCTACTCCCAGAAACCAAGAGTCTCCAGATGGAGCTATGGTTAAAGCAACTTCAGACCACTTAGGAGGAGGTGGGTACCACAGAGAATCCCATTGTGCGCATGACTTTCATGTTCTTGAGATTCTCTCCCAGGAATTGTATGGCTATAATTCATTTTCTTGTATAAAATTCATCTTCTTGTAGGTCTGCACCCCAGACATGATCCTATGGCAGGATGAGTCCTTTCAGAATAAATTAAAAATGCCATTATCCAAAAGCTAAACATAAGAATTTAATAGTAACTTTCTATCCTGGGCCAACAATTAAAGATGAGAGGTTTAGAAGTTCCCAATCCTTGAATAGTCTTCAAGTCAAGTCCATCCCTAGATAGTGTTGTCTGTGGGAAGGTGGAGGAGGTGACCCCTTTGCAGTCAGAGAACTGCTGCCATCTGGTCAGCAGGAAGGTCGGTGTACAGAGCTCCAGTCCTCAAGTGTGAGCTGAACCCTTCCCCTTCCTTCCCCCACTGTCTTAGTTACTTTTCTAATGCTACAACAAAATGCCATGACCATAGTAATTTAGAAAAGAAACTGCTTAAGCCGGGCGGTGGTGGCCCATGCCTTTAATCCCAGCACTCAGGAGGCAGGGGCAGGTGGATCTCTGTGATTTCAGGCCAGCCTGGTCTATAAGAGCTAGTTCCAGTAAAGGCTTCAAAGCTACAGAGAAACCCTGTCTGTGTTTAGTTGATCTTACCATTGCAGGTGGTTAGAGGCCAGAGCAAAAGCATGGTAGCAGGGACAACTGAGAGCTCACATCTTGATGTACAAGTAGGAAGCAGAGAGAGGAACCACACTGGCAATTGTGTGGAACTTTTTGAAAGCTTGAAATCTAGAGTTACACACCTCCTCCAACAAGACCATACTTCCTAATTCTTCCCAAATGGTTCCACCAACTGGAGACCAAGTATTCAAACATTTGAGTGTGGGGGACTATTTTGGAAAATTACTACTGAGAGTGGGAAGTATTTCAAAATGCTTTAAGACAATGTTCTGAAATCACATCTCCAAAGATGGCCCCGGAAGACAATAGACTGCTCGGCCTCTCTGTGCCAGCCCTAGCGGTCTGCCTAATTCCCTGGGGACGTGGTAAGACGACAGGGAATGTGAAGTCTGTGTAGTCTTTGACATGTATGGTGATGAACAAATTACTCACCTCCACTTAGCTTTTAAGTAATCGTTTGCACTTAATTCATTCTTTCAGGTGATCAATTGACTCTACATAGAAACCTGTGTTGGGTCTGTGC